TGTAGTTGCTCCGTCCGAGATAACGAAACTGAGTGTTCTGCTGTCAAACTATGGGTTGCTTAATTTGCACCGGGTGTGCCTGTTCAAACTCAGCCACAAAAGTTATGTAGTACACCCTCAATTACTTATTCAACACGAAATCAAGTTCAAAATAGTAAGTGATTAAAATCAGTTCTGCTAACGATGCAAGTGAGTAAACGAGATGTCGCTTTAATGAATCAACTTTTGTTTTCAGATAATCCAAGAACCTGGGAATTTAATTTTTCTTGCCCCTAATGCTGCACACACAGGTGGCAATATGGGTGTCATTTTCTTGTTTCCTCTAAAAGTGCTCATGCGCTTCTCCATTTTACTATGATTAGAGTACTTGTGAAGTATATTTTTTTTGTATTATTTTTAGGGAGTACAAGGTGCACATGGATATCACACCACTCTTTAAAATGCATTGCAAGGATCTGCTTAAATATCATGTAAATAAAACAATGGCAGAAAATTTCAATGACCCTCATTTTAAAAGATCAATTATTGCTGTGAATTCTGAGAATTTTCAGAGACCAGCACCTTTATCTATTGAGGCATCAGGTACTACTTCTTCCAAGAACACTACAGTGATTGTGAAAAAAGAACGTGTGGCATGCCCTGTGCAGCAGGAGGGGTGTTTCAAAACCTACCAGAGCCCTGTAAGAAGAGAAACCCTAATGACTCACATCCAACAAGAACACAGTAAATATTCAACAGATGTGAGCATTTTAAAGGCAGTTGACAGTCTTTGCTGCACTTAAAAGATAAGTACTGGTCAGCGTTATGAATGCAGTAATTGTGGAGCCAATATAAGTGTCAATAGCAGCAGGCATAAGGGGAGTAAAGCATGCAAAGTAAAAGCTTTGAAAAACCAGACAGCAAAGTCATAAGTTGATGGTCCAACAATTGCCTTGAAATGCTATACTAAGTAATGTTGATTTCAATTTAAATTTTAGCAACTTATAGTGTATCTGTAAAAGAGTTTTTTTGTCATTTTTTATAAATATATCCAGCTAAGAAATAGTATGATTGTTTTGAAAGTGTTCTGTAATCCTACATGTAAGCTGAGTTTCTTATAAACACTAAACTGTATACAGTGGTACTTTTAACATAATTAGTGTTCAGACAAGATTGCCTCAGTAATTTAAATCAATCTTATCAAAGAGAATCTTACAAGGTAATTTTAACCTGATTGCATTTTTGTAAATTTGTGTTTAAACACTAAATAGTAGAATAATGTGAGCCAAAAACATCCAGTTTGGTACTGTTCTTTCCGCTTGTGTGCGACAAGTCAAATAATGCTGTAGGTAGATCTGAGATCAGTAAATGTTTGAAAATCCATAGCTGGTGATTGAGTATTTGTACTGTATCAGAAAAGTTCACTTCAATACCTGAATGAAACTGCTTGTCTATGCCTAATCAGAGTCAGATTCGGAATCCTCATCTACATTTAAGTGGAGACCATGATTCACAGCTGCCATGTTAACATATGAAGCCTCATGTAAAAAGCGGGAAGCAGTTATTTGCCCATTCTCTAGAAGTCCTGTCAATCTTTGGATTCTTTTATCATTTAGTTTTGCACGCCACCTTTTTCCAGCAGTCACAGAGTCTCCTCTGTCAATAGCAGTTTTGTCAGCAAAAGCTAAATGCTCTAACTGCACAAAGGCACCTGAAAAAGAATGTACCATTTTTTCAGTAGGAGATAAAATTTATGACTATGATGAAATTCAGTTTGTCAATGTAAAGGAAACAGCAAGGGATATCTAGGACTTTAGATGTAGAGGCTGCATCATATTTAGTTGATTTCAGTCAGAAGAACATGAAACATGTCGTTAAGCAGAAACCTGATCCTTATACAATTCGTATTGTTGTCCTCCCCAACAAAGTTATCTTCCCAATTTTATCAATAATTAATACCAATATTAACATACCGATTAGATGCCATACATTAGGTCTGTTCTGTGGTATGAGCGAAGCCAGGCTTCTGTTGTCTGATTCAGAAACGTTATTGGTCCTTTCTGGTGAATCAAAAACAGACAGCTCATGCAGGCGTGGTATCCATTCCTTTTCCAAATATTGGAAAAGTGGCAGAAGTGTGTCAGCCCAGCTCAACCTCCACCTCAACCCAAAGTTCTAGAACACCAGCCCAAATTCTGTGTCGTGGTAGGAGTGGGATGCCAGCAATGCACCTGATGAAGGTTTTGACTTCATCATGAGCTTCAGCAAAAGGCGTTAAGCCTAGCTTAGATGCATGTAAGGAAGATGCCTGGGAATATGAAGACAATAATACATAAGTATGTAATCTATCGTGATAAGTTTCAGCACTGGTAACATATAGATTTCACCAGAAGACAGTTTTGAGATTGACGTTCATTTCTGTTTGAGTCAATTTGTGTTCTCCTACATTCTACTTTCCTTTCATCGGTTTCTTAATAATAATCAAGCCATTTGCAATTGCCAGAAGATTATTTTTTTCATTTTTTTGAAACAAATAAATGAAAAAAGATATCCAAAAAATTGCCAATACAAAAGAAATGCAAAGCAAAACACTGAAAGGAAGAGGGACAGCTGAACTAGGCTTATCATAATACTCACAACACCATAGTGCCACAGACAGCCCACTATGCGGCTCATGGGCACAACTCTTTTGAAGGCGTTCATTTGTGCTCTCTCAAAATCACAGTGCACTCTCTTTGGTGCCCAATTGGAAGCGAGTGACTTAAGATAACTAAGTACAGCAACATAGGCTTCTTCGTGGCGTCTAATCATGAGTACTCTGACTACTGCTACAACCTATAAAAAAAGGACAAAAAAATAACTTACGTAGAAAAATACAAGCACTTACACACTGGTACTCCAAAACAAAACAAATCGTGGCTTCTAAATAAGCTGACTACAAAAAAACCTTACATATCCACCATGATTTGTGCACAAATTGAAAATTTGTGACATCTTTGGCTTGCGTGACCGCTTTTTAAAGGTGCCGTGACCACGGATGTTCGTGACTGTTCCCAAGAACTGTAGCATACGCCGAAAGCTATTGTCTTGTTTAGTAAATCGCCCACTACACCTTGGAAGATGAAGTCTGTTTTGTCTACAGTTTCACAAAGCCTTCGTAGGTTTGGCATGCCCAGTAAAACACCTAAGTGAATCAAAGTCTTCGGAATGCATGGATTGTTTCTTGACCTAGCCACATCCATGGCCGAGTGCATCCTAACTGGTCAAAATCTGTTAGCTACAGCAGGGCTTTGCCTGCCAAACAGAAATAAATAATCAGGTAAGAGTATAGAGATAAATTAATAAATTAAATATAGGAGAGCTGTGGCATGAATAGAACCTTACTGCAATTTGATTTGGTTCAGAATGGTTCTTAGTTTGGTACCAAAAGAATCTGTTGATACTGTATGTATTGTGAGCCGTCGAAGATCCATGTCCTGCTCAAGAAGCGGATCTGGAGGATGGTCGTGCGGTTTCAGATGTACCAGAGTTGCTGAGGCAAGGTTCAGAGAAGCAGTAGCTGTGCATCCACGATGATGGTGCCGACACTGAAGCCGCAGCCTAGACTTTCGTCTTTCGTGGACGTTGTAGTGCCAGCCATCACTTGAATGAAGTATGACAGAATCTATCGATCTGCCTCGAAAGAAGCGGACTGGTAGTGCAGCCATTTCTAAAATTATGGCGTCCTAATATTACAAAGAAATGTCACAAAGTAAGGCTAGTGGCTGCTAACGTGGGAAGAAGAGATGCGCCATGCGCCGTGCGACTAGTCTTGCAGGGTGCATGGTTAAGGTAACACACGGCGCATGGCTCATTGTGGGGGTAGCTTTTGGCACCCCAAAAATTTGTTTCATAAAGGTACTCACATCAGTCAAAGCAAAATAGTAATTCTCCCCGAATATCGAAAGAACAGAGACGCTCTTCCGCTCTTCCGCTCGACCCAGAAACCAGTGCCTGTCCACTCCGACTTTCGGGGTGTTGTCTCTGGTGCGAAAGAGACGCAGATAGAACCCCGAAACGTTAAGAAGGCGAGAGTCAGGAGGGGGATCACGGAGCTCCTCTGCGCCTTCTAAAAAAACAGGGTGAGGGGGGTAGAGGGGGGCAATTAGAAGGCGCTTCCGGGGAGCTCCGGAATACCCCTCCAGCAGGCCCTGATCCCAACCCAAAGAAGAAGAACCTGACGGAGAAGTCCGGTATGAGAATGACACACGAACGCAACCCGACGCGTGACGCAGGCGTGTTCAGGTTCCGGTCAGGAGCTCCGCCCAATCACCTCAGCCCAAGGTTTTTTTCCTGCCCGTAGAGTTGGGGGAGTTGAGGTCGGTTGGGTGGAGCCTCAAGACGTTGATGCCAAAAGATATTACAATAGAAAGAAAAGAACCCTATAGTAGTCAGTCGTTTGCTGTTCTTCGATGGAAGAAAAATTCAACAATGTAAGTTCCGCTACATTCTTTTATTTGATGTTTAAGTAATTCAGAAAAGTTCATATCGCCAAATCAGATTTTGCCTACATTTTGACAGGTTATTTGCACGTGTTGCAAGTGCACGTGTTGCAAGTGCACGTGCTGTTTGGAGTGGCTGTGGTGCCAATGTATCTGTTGCGAGTTACGACGTAGTAATAATGCAACTGAGCAAAAAAAGTGTTATTGTAAGTGTGACTGCCACTGCTGCACATTTTACAAGAACAATAACTGTCCATGTGGATGTTGTAAAGCGAGACCGAAATGTAATTGTCCAGCATCTGAAATCCAGACGGACTGATCATTTGTTCTCTATTCCTGTAATTGCTTTTGAAGTGTGTGTTGCACAGCAGGTCGATCACATTCCGGTCGAGTCGCGGTTCCGGCGCCCCGTCTAAACCGTCTAGACGTGGCGTCATTCCTCTGTTCTCGCCGTTTCCGCTGTTGCCAAATTTCTACTTCCCCCACTCTTTTCCACCTTTCACGTGACCCCTGGCCGCATGGAAAGGCTCGCGCCTGCAGCCAAAAAGCTGTCCAGCTGGCCGGCTGTCAAATCGGGCTCGCTCTCACTCCTTCTCATCTGCTTGAAGACACCATTTCAACAAGCGTGGAAAGTGAATCATACTATGACGATACAATGACTGGTAAGTTAGTTTTGCTGTATTCTCGTTCGTGCTCGCCTAATCCCGATGTGTTGCCACTGTCGT